CTAGATAGTCCATCTTACGGGGGTACTAAGCTTCACTTGGCCACTTTCCCACAGTTAGGCATCCAGGTGCTCAACAAATCTCTGTTCCTACTGCTGACTATGTCTATACACCAGGCTTCTAGAAGTAAACATCTGAGGAGGAATAAGAAAGTTAGTTTCACATTCGGGGCTGGGAGGGATGCTGCTCAGGACTCACTTTTCAAGTCCCATTGGTATTAGTACAAACAAGAGTCTCACTCCTCTGCTGCATTTTGTAAGTGGCGTCATCTCCATCATCTTAAAAACACTAACCACCTAACCACTTACAGCTCACATACTGCTCGTAGAGAACTACATAGATTCGGTTGCTGCATGCATTCTGAAATTTTACGGTCCAAGAAAGACATGATGCTGGCAGGCGTGCATGCTTCAGATTCACCCGCCGCAGACAAACCTTGTTGAAACTAGTCCAAGGGGCGCCTGGGTGGCTCAGTCGTTAAGCGTCTGCCTTCGGCTCGGGTCATGGTCCCCGGGTCCTGGGATCAAGCCCCGCATCGGGCTCCCTGCTCGGCGGGAAGCCTGCTTCTCCCTCTCCCCCTCCCCCTGCTTGTGTTCCCTCTCTCGCTGTGTCTCTCTCTGTCAAATAAATAAATAAAATCTTTAAAAAAAAAAAAAAAAGAAACTAGCCCAGACAAGTCTAGGACAATCACATTTAAAAGATCAGGACCAAAGTACATTTATTACATAGACTGGGGAGGGAAGGGACCAGTGGAGACCAGCTGGGACATCCAGCCCTCACCTGGGCCAAACGTAAAGAACAAAAGTGTGATGTGCTCGTTCCCTCTGAAGCTCTCTGTCCTAACCTCCTTCCTCCTCTCTTCCAGTGCGTCGAAACTTGGGGCTGCTCTCAGAAATGTACTGTACCTCCGCCTGCCTGGTTCTTTAACTTTTCTCTCCGCTTTCCCTCTTGACCCACCTTTCCCATGTTACCTTCCTGCCCCCTAGCCCTGCCTCGGGTCCCAGACTGACCCTGCCCTTGATCCGTGGGGCTGAGGGGTGCCACTGGTTTGAAGAGCTTCCAGATCTCCAGCTGGTCAGCCCGGAGCTGTGTTTGGAAACACGGGCCCTGACTGCGGCTGTCAGGCCACCCAGAGACTATCTGCTGCTCCTTGGTCAGCATCATCTGCAGCTACTGTGCTCCTCGGACTGAGCCACCGCCTACCACCCCCCATGACCACTGTCCCACCTGTGCCTGCCTCCCTGACACCACGAGAGACCCCGTCTGGATTCCAGGAATGAATCCATCCTTGTCTGCCTCACTCCCACCAAAGATAAAAGACATCACTAGCAACAACATATATTTAGTGAATGCTTACTGTTATTCATTGAATTGTTGGCCCTTCCATTCTGGGCCATGACAAGACACATGCTATAACCTACTCCTGAAGAGATCTGATGACACATGCGTTGTCACTGGCATCAAAACTAATATCCCCTGTGTACCCAGGACAGGCCTATGGGAGAGGGAAAGGCAGAAAACCTACCTACCTCACGGCTTCTGTGCCAAGTCCAGGAATGGTGTTTGCCCTGTGACGTCCGGAGAGCCAGCAACAAAGGAGGTCATCAGAAGGCAAGGTGTTGTCTTAGGAATATTCATTAAAATAAAGGCACTGGCTTCATTCTTGGGCAGATTCGCCTCCTGTGGAGTATCTAGTCCCTTTGACTAATGTTCTTGTTCTTCTTGAGTCCGATCTGTAGCTGTTTTACTGTGTTTCAGCTATGAGGGTAGTAGAAATAAATTAGAAATGGAAAATAAGTTTTTTGATGATCTGGCTAGTCATCCATACTAGCTTTCATACCACTGACTGAGAGTTAGTTATCATCAAATATCCATCCACCAAGGATGAGGTACAGGTTATGGCAGGTGTTTGGCGAATAATACTAATGCAATTTATTTTACTATTTACTCTCTCATGTCAGAGTAATCAGCTAGTAAAGCAAGGATTATAGATTAGTACTTTAAACATTTTTGTTTGTGGGGTGCCTGGGTTGCTCAATAGGTTAAGGGTCTGATTCTTGGTTTCAGCTCAAGTCGTGATCTCAGGGTCGTGAGATGGAGCCCTGTGTTGGGCTCCATGCTCAGTGCAGAGTCTGCTTGGGATTCTTTCCCTCTCCCTCTCCTTCTGCTCCTCCCCCTGCTTGCACTCACTCACTCTCTCTCTCTTTTTCAAATAAATAAAGTCTTTTAAAAAAATTTTGTTTGTAAGTCTTCTGTCCCATCCATATTAGATTTAAGCTTTTTTTCAAATTTAATTTACTAATTATATTTCCTGTGCATGAATCACACAATTATGTCCTTTGCCCACTTACCCACTGAGGTATTGGTAATATTCATAAATATGTTTGAATAAATTTTCATATGTTTGAAGATGGTAACTATTTTCCATTTGTGGTGAATATTCTTCTTTTGTTTTTATTGTTAGTCATTTTTATTGTTTAGAAGTTAAAAATTTTTCATCTATATTTGACCATTTTATTTCACTTCCAATTTTTCTCTTGCTCTAATTATCAGAAAATTATCACCTTAAAGTGGGACTAAAAATCCTAATTTTCCCTTAGGGTTCCATTCCCCACCACCCTTGAGATCTTATACTGACATTCTCTGGACCTCAGAGCCCAGGCCCCCTAAGTCTTCAATACATTATTTTCACAAAGGTTGAACATTTGTGTTATGCCTTCAACAGAGCAGTTACCTACAGAGTCCATTATTCACCTATTTATCCTGGATTTAGAACTATTTCTTATATTTGCTGATGTCTGAGAGGGTTATGGCTTACTCCATTCGTACCTAAGTCAGTATCCACATTCACTCATTCACTCACTTGTTTGTTCATTCATTCACACATTTATTCATTCATGCATTTGTTATATGTGGCACACAGGCTCACATGTAGCTCCCAGTGAGTCCTGTTTTCTGGTGTTCACCCATGAGTGTGGGCAGGACCTATGACTTGCTTCTAACAGTAGAATATAGTAGAGGTGATGCAATGTCCCTTCTGTGATTGTGTTACATAATAAAGACTCTGTCTTGCTGGGAGACTCAACCTGGAGACTGACCTTGCCGGCGTGATGAAGTAAGCAGCCATGTTGGAGAAGCCCACATGGTGAGGCACTATGGGCAGCTTCCAGCCAACAGCCAGGAAGAAGCTGGGATCCTTGGTCTTAGAGCTGCAAGGAAATGAACTCTGCCAAGAATGTGAGTGAGCTTGGAAGGGGTTCCTTCCCCAGTTGAGCCTCCAGTTGGGAGCACAGTCCAGATGACACCTTGATTGCAGTCTTGTGACACTGTAAGTAGAGGGGCCATCTAAGCCATGCCCTGACCTGAAGAAACTGTGAGATAATAAATGGGTATTGTTTTTAGCTACTACATACATGGTAATTTGTTGTGCAGCAATAGAAAATGAATACATTGTGCTATGCTAAATACCATACAGGCATTCTCTCACTTAGTGCCTGAAGTAACCTCATGAGCCTGACATTAATATTATTCCCATTTTACAGATGAAGACACCGAGGCTCAGGAATTGAACTCCAGAACATTCTACTCTCAACCACTGAACTCTCATGGCATATTTCATTTTAATGTATTGCCTTATTTCATAAATTCAAGTTTATCATGGTTTAAAACTTATCTCCTGATCACGCTGACTATATTTAGGAAAAGCTCTACTAGGCACATCTAGTACACAAAGTAAATGTTTTTATAAATTCAACATTACCAGGAACTTTCCTCTAACTCTTCTGTGCTATATTTTTACCATGTATCTCACAGAAATATTATTAAATTCAAGAATAGGAAAGTTTCTCTTTTGTGTTAAAGCAGTGATAGACTGTAAACTATTTAGGAGGGAGAACAATTATGGCTGATATGACCCACATTCCTGGGAACTGATCTGGAATTAAAACACCCAAGTAAACATCCATTAGAATGTGCTGGATCTTGGATTGTGTCTTTAAATTTGCTGCAAGACAAACACACTTCATCTTGTGTCCTAACTTTCCCATTTTTGGTCAGGTATAGAGAAAAATTAGGAAGTAGGGAGATTTAGACTTGCTTTTTTTCTTTTTTTAACAACTATTTGGTTCAGTGTTCTGAGAAACTGAGATAGGATTATGACCCCACTACTGTGTCTTCTAATGAGAATTCTTCCTATTCTGCATTTATCAGATGTTAATTATTCATACTGCATGATGAGGATTTTGGAGTCAGAGATTCACCTGCAATATTTGGAATACCAGTGGAGGCCTACATCAACACAGAATTTATAAAGCAGCTGGTGCTAGTCAAAGCTAATGATGGAACTTCAGTTTAATAAAAAGACCCCCAACTGAGCACACCATCTTGAAAAAAGTATACTTATGAAACGGCTTTCAATCAGTTCAAGAGAGACACCTTAATTGGGAAGAGGAAGATTTGCAGAGTAGTTTGTCATTGTGCCAATTCCAGATCAATAACTGCATGTCTGCTCTTTGGTAGACATAGCTTTTGCTTTCTATGAAGTAACCACATCTACTTCCTCTCCATTTGGGTAAACTCTGTTTCATTTCATAATGTTAAATAAAATATCTTCTCTTTTTATCCCCCCAGATTTTTATTTATTTATTTGTCAGATAGAGAGAGAGAGAGAGCACAAGCAGGGGGAGGGGCAGAGGGGGAAGCAGGCTCCCTGCTGAACAAGGAGCCCCATGTGGGACTCGATTCCAGGTCCGAGCTGAAGGCAGGTGCTTAACCGACTGAGCCACCCAGGGGTCCCAATAATATCTTCTTTTAATTCACCTCTCTGTCTTCATAATAAATACAACCAAAATTAGATTTGTGATTATAAAGGTCATTTTTTAAAAATTTTTAAAAATAAACTTGGTATTTTGCAACAAGGAAGCAATGCATATTGAATTCTAGTATTTTCAAAATTGTTGTGTTGAAAAAATTAGATGGGTAGAACTAAATTATGGTGGTTTAACTATAAGAAGAATATGCTGAGCAATGATAATCTGGATTCATATAAAATTGTTTGGAGACGACTGTACAGAATCATCTACTAATAAGAAACAAAAATAAAATGGATTTACTTTTGGAGGGAAGGGTTTGGAACACTAAAGAATGTGACTCAGTCACCAGGTCTTAGTTTCCTTATTTGTTAAAAGGAGATACTCATTCAAAGTGGTGACTTTCAAACTGGTCTCAGTGGTACATTAGAGGGCATTATGGACCAGACAGGGCAGGAGGAGGCAGAGAAGGTGATGGAGCAGGGGCCCAATGTGGAGACCAAGGCAAAGCTTGGGGGTTGGGGGAGGGCTCTAGTTCCCTTTTCACTTCAACTAGGGCAGATCTTTTCTTTCCCTCCCTTGCTCCCTCCCTCCTTCCCTTCCTCCCTCCCTCTCTCCCTCCCTCCCTCGCTCCTTCCCTCCCATCCTTCCTTCCTTCCTCCCTCCATTCCTTCCTTCCCTCCCTTCTTTCTTTTTTTCTTTCTCTTCCTTCTTCTTTGGTTTTTCTCTGTCTTCCTCTCTCTCTTCTGCTTCTTCCTTCCTTTTTTCCTCCCTCCCTCCCAAAAGCTATACCTAGTTATATAGATATAAATTAACATATAGAAATATCAAGTTTCTGCCTAAGATTTCTTTTTGAGAAACAGGATTCTACTGCTAAAATACAGTTTGAAAATCAGTGGACTATACAATTCTAAGTCCTTTTCCTTCTCTGAATTTCTTCCTTCTAGTAATTTTTCAATTACTGTTGGGATTCCAAGATCCAGGAACAAAATAGCAAGGGAGATTGAAAATATTTTAGAATCCACAACAAATATCTATCTTACATGAACTATAGTTCTACTAAAAGCTATGGGTGAAATGGCATCTTACAGACCCCTACAGAGATATGGGATTATGACTAAAAGGTTTAGTTTATTGCAGAGTAACTACACAGAACAGAGCCATGCTCTCTTAGGCATTTCATCTACTAGATGATGTGTAGGCAGAGTGACAGAATTATGGCCTAATTTAAAAAATCAAAAGTTTCTTGCATTTAGAGAATCTTATACAAGAGTCAGGGGGATACTCTGAGATCATTTCTCTCATTTTATATATTCATTTATCTATTAAATTAATAAGTTTTTATTGAAACTTAGTGTGTCAGCCACTATGTTAGGTGTTGAGGTTATAGTATATTGTCCCTATCCATATAGAAATTATGTTTTAGTGGAGGAAAGAGCAATTAAACCATAATCATACACATAAGCATATAATGTATTACATATTTTTATGAGTGTTATTAAGTAAAAGAGCAGGGTTCTCTGAGATCACGCGTCAGAGAATACATGAGAACACTAGGCTGTAGAGGGTGAAAGTGACTTACCTCAAGTCACTGAGGGGAGCACCACAGAGCTGGCATAGACCCGATCACGTGTTCTCTGTCTCACCAACTTGACTGTGAAAGTTTAGGCTGAGTGATGGAAATCCAAAATCCATGAGCTCCTTTCCTGGCTTCTCCACTACTTTGAAATGTTGGGCAGCCTTGAGAGACATCTAAATATCTGCACCAAGAATGGATGCTTCAAATTTTTTTTTTAAAGATTTTATTTATTTATTTGAGAGAGAGGATGAGAGGAGAGAGAGAGCACATGAGAGGGGGGAGGGTCAGAGGGAGAAGCA